AACAGATCTCTGTATGAAAATATCATGCAAAAATTAAGAAAATCTGATAAAATATTTTGACTGTTTCTACTTGACTGATCACTGGTGATACGCATCAAAGGTCACTGATCTCAGTGGAAATATGCATTGTTGTATGTGTTCAATGAAGTAAATCATTTATCTTGTAATAATATCATTGGTAATGTACATGTATCTCCCAAATCCCATGGGAATACTATACTGGGTTTCAAAACCAAATCATGGAGAGATTTTTTGCACATTTTTTGCACATCCACATTTTGAAAAGAAAATTGTACTAAAATATATGTATTCTGTATTTGACAAACAGTTCATTCGACAAATAAAAATTCACAGGAATTTTTTTCAGTTATTAGAACAGAGTTTTTATAATACTAATTTAAAAACGCACTTCAAAAACAAAGATTGCAGTGTTTGAAGATCTTCTCTCTCCACTGGACACCAACTAATTATTTAAGTTGATTTGCATACAAAGCAGAGCTTGCAACATGATAGCTATTCGTAGAGGGTGTTTTTTTTTTACTTTTCATATAATACAGTAGTCACACAATAAGGCAGTTCATATTTGTCTCAGTGAATCATTAATTTTTGACAGACACCTGTACAAAATACTTGGACAAAAGCCAGCTAAGTTATCTTGCATGTTTTATGATTCTATTCACATCTAAATGCAGCACTTTTTTTCTGCGATGAGGCATTTGTTTTTATACTAAAATATCTGAATTACTTTGAATAAAGCTGGAAATTATGTCCCTTAAAATAATTAAACATCTATCAAGGATATTCGGTAGACTGATTCCCCACTGTTGGTTCAACCCCAAAAGTTATTTGTATTCAAAATTAATTATGACAATGCATATTTATATTGAAACAAAATATGATAAAGGAAATAATATTATATAACAAAGGGCAAGGTCACCAGAGTTCAATTATGTTTTAAAATTTCTAATTACCTCTTTTAGTCCCAGTCCTCTCTGTGTTCATCTGTGCGTGCGTGCATGTGTGTGTCCGGACTTGTATCTTCGACTTGCCTGGACCAATTACAATCAAACTTCACACACACGTCATACATAATATTATACATATGCACATCAATTTGTTTTGTGCTGAAAAAAAATTTCAGCCATTCTGGAAATTGATCTTGGATGTTTACGAATGGATTTTGTTCAAAATGAGTACATACAATGGACATTTTGGAACCTTGATGCACATCATTTTGTCATTTTGCTAAGTGCCCATCCCTCTAAAATGCATGATTTTTGAAGCTGAGTACCCTGGCACTAGTCTGAGTACTTAAACTATTTATGACCAGCTTAGTTGAGAATCTTATTGTCCATAGCAACTACTCAGAAAGATGCTTTGTAATGACAGACAGTATGGTAGGTAGTATACTATAAAGTATGAATAAAAACAAACATTTTTAGTGCTTAGCTGCCATAACTTGTCCCTAGCAACCAAAATTTCACCCATATAGTGCATGTACTTTTGCTTTAATGTTTTACATATTAATTCGATGTGTGATAGAATGTTTTGTCACATGGAGATGTTTCTGTTTTTCACTGTCTTTCATATTTGAACTGAATTGTTTGCCCTATTGTGCACATATCACAAAAGTGAAATTGTTTTGAACATCCTTGGTTGGTGGCCATTTTTAAATAAGGTCTTGACCTTCAGCGTAATCTTGTTTTTTATCTCACAGGTGGGTCACCTCCGGTTGTCAGGAAAACTCCACCATCACTAAGAGCAGAAGGAGAAGTAGTCAGAGAAAAACAAAAGTTTTCCGTGAAAGAAAGAGCAAATATATACAGCAAAGGAGGTGTTCCGAAACACACACCGGAAACATCTTTACCGCTTACTGCCAACACTGAGGCTGATTCTGGTAAGTTTTGCTTCATGATCTGATTGTAGAAATATTGACATTAGTTGCATCAATATAATTAGCTTCATTGTACATCCAGCACCAAAAACAATTCGCTTTTTTGGAAAAAGCCATATCACCACTAATTCAAATGTTTAGGAGTAAACAACATCACCAACATTTACGCGTTCCAGGTGATTGACGTCACATTGGAACACTTTTATGTACTCGTGTTTGAGACTGCGTGACAGGGCTCTGCAGCCATCTTCCCATCAAATGGGATTTGATGCGCTATCGTGGCTCAGGCCCAGTCGAATACAAGCACCTGTGAACCTTAACCAAGGTTCCCCCAAAGTCGTATTCATTAGTGAATGAATCTCGGCCAGTTATTGGCCTTCCCGTTGAGTCTATGGTACATTCACCCAGGGTAGCGGTCAGCCCTTTTGATGTTCAGCCTAAGGTAGGTTTTGAACATAGGTCTACTGATCATGAGTCTGAAGCAACAACCACTATGCTACCTGTAACCAGTTACCTCGTCACAGACTTTCTTTGAACCT